TGCGCGCGCGGGGGGGGGGGCGGAGCGGGGGCGTCCCCTCAGGCCGCCATGGCCGCGCCTCCCCGCGGGGCTGCCCCGGCCGGCGCCCCCTCACTGCCCTCCCTCCCAAACACCTCTTCCCCGACGAGCGGGGGAAAAAAAACCCCAAACAACGTGCAGTACAAAATGAGCGGCGAGAGCCCGAGGAAGAGGGGCCTCCTCTGTCAGGCCCCGGGGCGGCGGCCGCTCCCCTCGGCTGAGGTGGGTCCTGGGGCCTCTGGAGGGGAAACCCGCGGAGGCCGCAGTCTGCCCCGGCCCTGGCCTGCCCCGGACCCTTTGCCTTTGCACGGTCGTGGCCGCTCAGGCCTTCCCCGGCCCTGGCTGCTGCCGAGCGAGCAGCTCCCCCCGGCGCACAGCGCGGGCGAGGGGTTATCTCTGCAAAAGCGACCGGGAAAGGGACGGTGAATCCTTTTTGTTTCCCTATTCCTTCTAATAATCTCCATTACAGCCAAGTCAAGGAAAAAAAAAAAGATAAATGAGGGGTGTGATTGATGTGACGGTTCCCTTTAAAGGACAAAAAGGCATCCTAGTAGGTTTGGCAGCCGAGATGCACGCCCACGTTTTCATGCGCTGGGTTAGCTACGGCTTATCCTCCCAATTGTGTACTGGGTCTGTGGGTAAAAATATAAAGCAATTCTGCTACCAGGGGGGTGGCAGATGTTCGGCTTTACTAGTGCCCCATGGCTGCTCCTGGGCAGGAGGCACCGAGGTAGGATCACCCAGAATAGAACCTGTGCGAGGAGGGAGAGGAGTGGAAATGGTCTCTATAGCAACAGATGAAGGGTCTTTGGAAAAGGAGATGCGGGAAAGAATTTAGGCTGAAAATACATCATTCTTTCGGTGAGAGAAGCCTGTAATCCTTGTCTGGGCAATTTTAAACAAGCTGTTTCCTCTCATCTGGCACTCTGCTGTTGAGGCATGAAACCCAGATCGTAGCCTTAGCAGCAAGAAATGCCCACACATACAATTCCTGCAGTTGTCTTGTTCTAGATGAAAATGCAATGCTATATTTTTTTCCCCCAAATATGTGATCATATTTGGTACTTCCAAGTCATGGTCACTTGGAAATGGTAAGGATGTATAAGCAGCTAGAATTGATCAGCTTTGTTTCTGAAACTGTATAAAGCTTTGTTGCTTCATAAACTTCATTCTATTTGGTGGTCTCTTCTGTCTACTCTCCTCAATGGGGCCCCTTCAAACGTATCTGGCATTGAGCATTTTATCGACTATGTGTGTTCTCGGGTTCAGGTCAGCAACAGAACTTCCTGTCTGCTACGGTAACTTCATAACACAGCTTTTTGTTGGTTTTTTATGACATTGAGAGTGGACAAGTAGCTTCCTTAAAATAAGCTACATTGAGTTAAGGAAGTAAGCTGACCCTGAAAATTACAGGCTCACTGTCCAACAGCTTTGTCCAAAACGCAGGCTCTGTTTTAAAAGAGGCAAGATGCTAGAAAGCGTTGAAAGAAACGATTGCAGTAGAAATAGGTATGTATTGATTTTCTTAAAAGTTTAACAGCAAACATTTATCTAATAACTTTCAGCATTTGAAGACTTCTGTCAGAATTATGTAAGCAGCACTGAAACTGACAGTTTTCTGTCCAAGCTGCGTAAACAAGAGGAGGTTCAAAGCAAGATGGGCAAGATTGTGGAAAGGTATGAATTGGCCTTTTTTTTAATGACAAGGTAGTAACTAGGGCAGCATTTGTCTCAGCTCGGGAAAGAGTGGTTGAGGGGTATGATCACTGTGGATAAAGTCATGGCTAAGATGACTTCTCAGAAGGCAGGAACCAGAGGCCTGAAATGGAACTATCAGGCTTCAGATTTAAAACCAAAAGAAGTATTAAAGAGTATTAAACATGATCAGGCAAATGCAAACTTAAGCTCAGAAAGTCCATGAACTAGAGACTGCTGCAGTCTGAGAGGGGAGTGCTGGAGAGGAGCTCTGTGTTAAGTGCCCTGTTTCATACACTCTTTCCTAATTATATGATGTTAATGGTCCTGCTCACAGATGGGCTGCTGCCCCAGTCTGTGTCAGGACAGCTGTTCTGGAGCACAGACAGTGAGTGATTGATGTAAATGATGGTGACAAAAAGGTTTATGATGGGGAAGGAAGAAAAGGAGCACTTGCACTAGTTTTAGAAAAAAGAACTAATGTCTTCAGCGGCCTCTTTCCCTCCAGAAGGGGTGCTGGAAGCAGCAGTGCTCCTTTTCAAGTAAGTAGCTGAAACGGCGTCTGAGGCAAAGCAGGTCAGGCCCTGCAGAGCTCAGCCAGGAGGCGAATTGTGAAGGCTTTGCCGGGGGAGCTGTGTGCCCAAGGAAAAGTGTACATGCAGGTTTCACCAGAGGAGCCCAGATTTGTCACAGGAGGTCACTGAGAGGGCCGTGGAAAGCCGAGAACAGCCAGAGAAGCAGTAGCACCGTGAGCCTCTTAGAAGCTAAACAAGAGCACTGCTGGCTGAAGTGTTCCAGAAAGAACAAAAGTAAGAAAACTTGAAACACGGAGTGGTATTTTCCTTTACTGCATGATTGATGTTACAGAAAGCAAATGGCACTCTGTGCCTTCTTTGTAGGTGTGCATCAAAGAACTATCTGACTCATTTGCCAGTTTCTTCTACTGCAGATCTGAAGTACTGCCATAACCAGTCAGAAGTGGTGACAGTGTCATTACCTTTCCTGATTGTGCCAACAGTGTTACAGATCTTCCCAGCCAGTAAAGGGCCCCAGCCTTTGATACGGGGATCAAACAGTCCACAGGCAAAAGTTAAGGGAGGAAGAGGTACGATACCAAAGTCACCTGTCTGCAGGAGGAGAAAATCGGGAAAGGGATTCTAAACTTCCCTGTTATTCCATCAGCCTGCCTTTTTTTCTGGTATGAAAATGTCTTCAGATGCACTCTGTACACCAGAAGCTTGTCATCTTCTTCTGGAAGGAGATTTTCCTGAAAAATGAAGAGATATGGGAGCCTGTAAAGGTTATGTAGCAGTGGGAAAATGGAGATAATCAATACAGTGAAGACGGTAGGCTAGTTTCATGGATGGATCTCATTTTGACCTTTAATAGCCCTTCAGTCTATTGGCAAAATGGTTTCTAGTGACACAAGAAAGAGATAAATAGCTACATGAGATGAAAAAGAAGGAAAGATTCGATTAGCCTATATGTATTTTTTGCTGTGAGAATTTGCCCTTACATCTGGCCAGGCCTCGGGATCTTGTAAACATTTTTTGTTTGCAGCATGCAATTTACTGTTTATTAAAATTGCTTACAAAGCGTTGGCCTCAGCTGTGTGATTCAGGATCTAATAAATGGCTGGTTATTTGTCAGGCTGTCACTCTATGGAGAAATCAAATTATTTTGCCTGTTGGCCATCATTTTAATAGTGGAATCGTGGTGTTCACACAGCCCCTGGCCCTGCTTTCTGGTGAGACTGCCGGCTCATGCCTGAAATGTAAATCATCACCCTCTGTACCTCTAACATGTATATCAGCACGGGCTTCCGTGCTTCAGAGGGGAGGTCTCTATTTGTAGTGATGAGAGTGCTGGCTCAATCTCACAGCTATCTGCAGTGCTGGAAATTGTTCCCATCACCGCAGTGGACTAAGTGGCTGCAGCATCTGTGAGCCATTCCTCGAGTGACAGGCACAGGGCTTGCATTTCTGTCTCCAAGAGATCCCTCTAGTCCAGGCTCCTGATTTTCCCCCTCTCAGCTTGGGTCTTGAACTGTGGATGACCAGTGCTTTTCCAATATTCCTGACTTGGTTGAGTCCCTGTGGCTCTTCCATTTCTGAGTTTGTAATGGTAGTACACACTATGAACAGCAGCCTTTTATAATGCAGGCAGCACTGAACAGTGCAAAGAAATCATTTTGTGACTGGTTAAAACTCGCCGAGTTTGGTATCCTGTGGCTGTGTCCTGCAGCCCGAACCTTCCCACCAAAATAACCCCAATTTCCCCCTTTTGTTCTTTATAACTCACACAACAGGACAGCACCCTCGGTTCCAACTGAATCCTGTGTAGCCCACCCCACAGTGTGAGCTGAGCATGGAGCAACCACCACATGGAAGTGTTTGGTCCCCGCTGCAGCCTTTCCCCTCTCAGGCTTTGTATGTGTGCTAATTTTCAGTGGAGCTGGAAGAACTGATTTCTGCCTTCTGAACTGGATTGCAACTGACCAACAGGTTCAAATGTTATTGAAGGTATCATGGAAAACTGGAAAGCAGAATAACGTAGCAGGAACAAATAATAAGAGAAAAAGGATCTTAAAATAGCAAATGTACATGTGTCTGCAGTTACTGATGCTGAATACCAATGTTGTATAGGACATATGGTCTTAAAATAACTGAGAATAAATTTAGCTAGAAATAAGACAAAGGCTCTTGGCTATCCTTGATGTTCTTCAACAGCCTTGCTGTAGGAGTAGTGAGAGCAAACTATCTACACTGCTTTTCAGTGGAGTTTAATTCATTTATGAATGGAACTGTACAGTCTCTCTGCCTGCAGAAAAAAAAGAAAAAGAAAAAGAAAAAATCTGTTAAGTATCTGGAAATACAACTTTCCTAGTCCTGTGTTCCTTCCAGGAAACTGGACCCTCAGAGAACAAAATAAAGCATTCCAGATCTTTGACCCCTCCAAAGATTATGTCTGGTTGTCAGTCTGCTTCCCATATGCTTTTTTCCCCTGATGATGGCATCTCTTCCCTGGGTGAGGGAATCCTCTTAACGTTAGTCAAGGGCTTTACAGTTTGAACTTTACTGCCCAGATGGGCAGTAAAAAGGGGATCTCAGAAAAAAATGGCTTTTGCTTTAATTCCAAAACGTTGGCAGGTGGGTGGTTCTCAAGTCATGCTCCTCACTTGCTTTCAGGCAGACTTGCTGTTAAACTAACTCTGCAGAATTATGCAAGAAACCTCTCAGCACAGTTGGTCAATCAACCAAAAATGAGGATAA